TTAGGTGCACGCCACCGTCTGAATCATACACCAAGGTGGGCTGGCAACACATTCATTCTTATGTCGTTCCTGCATAACCTGTTGATTACATTACCTTTTACATGTTCTGCAGTTTGCGGATACGCTTTTGATTGTACTGCACAAAACAGACATCGAAAATATCTTCACCAAACACAATAAACGCTTCTTCATGTCCACCAAACTCCAAATTCAAACAAACCACATAGGATGTGTCGCCTTGTCGACGCTTGTCCTTCCAGAGTATGAATTTAAGCTGGCAACGTCCACACTCAACTTGGTTGGATACGGTGCTTCTGGGAAGTTACAGTTGGCCAACACGGTGGTAGACATATCCCCAATTCGAGCTTCATAAATATTTACCATTTAATTATCGTATTGGTAACACCACACTCATCGACCAGGAACGGTTTTAAACTACTCTTTTTCCACAGGTTTTTTGACCAAGTCAAAGTGACCCCACTGCCCACTGCACAATTAAGATAATGCGCTAAACTGGACTCGTCTGTGGATCCTAAAACTTGGATCAGAACCCAAAAGACATAATGCTAAGATCGCCATGTTACCCAAATCTTTCTGCATGGCTCAACGTTACGTATTTGGAGCATTTGTTTTGTTACACTGGTAACTTTGGTCGTCCGAATTCAAGGACTGGGTCACAACCTCAGGACCTCCTTCTAGTCTTAGCATGACTGATTTTATGAGGTCCACCATGCAAATAGGCGTGGTTCTGTCTCGATTGTAGTTAGAATTCAGAGGTATATGAATGAATGGAGAACACGCAAAAGGTGAAACTAGATAGATCGAGTTCACTTTGGATTTCTACCAATCTAGAGCTGGGAATACTCAGTGGCTTCCGGCACACGCTCAATTTGATATTTTATGCTATATTTGGATAGAGGCTACAATCTGCCGCAACGTTATTTTTCGCGAAAAAATCCCTCTTGACAGTTCCATTGATTATACAGCCGAATTCCCTCGTGAGCATTAGGAAAGTCAGCCGGTAATCTCAGACCGACATTTTTTTAGAAAGAAAGAAGGCGTTCACATCGGTGTTCTTCATTAGAGGAACACCAACTGAACAGTTACAGACTATTGAACAAGGAGGAAAAGTCTCATGTGTATCTTGTTTGCAAAACTGAACCCGTCTTCCTGAACTTTACTGGATATTCAGTAGCTGTTACTCAGAAGCGGGCAAATGCTACAAAGCGACTCCACAAATTCCGTAAAAGATCCCAAATTTCAAGAGACGCTAAGCGGATATCCCAAAAGACACTACTTGTATGCCTCATCATCAGTATCCACCGTTACCCCAGCATGAATTACAGTGCTTGCCTCAGAATAGACAATTCGTTTGGCATCAAACCAATGATGAATTTGCCCACTCGGGAACAGGTCTATCATTCTGTACGTTATATTTCGGTTGATGAACGTATTGATCAGACTGGTCCCATTGCTATCGCGCTTCGATCGCAACATCGTATATATGATTAAATGGGATGCCGTAACAATCCTACTCACGTTATTTCAAACTGTTATACTTACTTCCTCATAAGACTGACACTATGCTACCTTGCCAGCTTAATACGGTAGTGTTGTCCCTTTTGTACATCAAAATTACCGGAAGTCTTTCACGAGAGGATGGAAGAAGTTTCGGTCTCAAAGCCGTAAACACGTTGTGATTAATTCTCTCCAAACCAAGTTGCAGATGGCGGTGTGAATAAAATGTCAAGGTCAGATTTTGTAAACAAAGTTTCGAATTCCGATGCTTGCATATTTTATGCTAGCTAACCATTCATTTGACGACATCATTCATGGTGACATCCCTCTCAGTCACCGAATATCAGCTGTCTGTATATACACTGCTCAGAATACTTTATCCTGTTAGAGTTTCATTTAAATAATGAGAGAGCTTCTCAATTCCGTGGTTACCGGATATATAAATTTAGGAGACTTACTGAATCCCCACAATACTCTGATAATTCTAAAGTGTTCACTTCTTTGTCCTTTCGAACAGATATCCCTCGACATATATTGAAGTATCACGGGATGCCATCACTATGTGGTTGGTAGATACCGAATCTTTATCGTTCATCTCCTTAGTATGCTGTAAGAAGCGCCACATTGCCAAACTACTTGGCGGCTAAGCCCATCACGATTCAAGGCTGGTCACCAGGCGGCTCCAAGTAACCCCACACCGTTTGGTGATACTAATTAACACGATTTTGCCTCCTCCACTCAGACGCTTTCTTTTCCCACTCGAAAGATCCCAGGTTCCAAGAGATCTAGAAAATCTTAGCGTACGTTTGTACAAGATGGAACGTTAACCGCTATCCTCCTGAATCATACAGCCCACAATACCATACACTTCATTGAAATACTCATTTTCGATATCTAAGAATCTTTCGACCATGTCCCTCATGCATCCTTGCTTAAGAAACAGTTATGCGTGAATCACTGGATCCTTGTTTCACCAGCTCACCTCCCACATGTCTTATACGGCGCAAGTAAAACAAATTAAGTACAACTAGTCCTCTTTAATATCGATCAACATTTGAGTCATTCAGGGAAGTGTGTAACCACCCATCCCCTTAGTACGGTCTATCAACGACGTCCTCGGTGCCGTGTTTCAGTTCACACCCTTCCTCTTCGCGCAAGACTCAATAATCCCCCACATATTTCCTCATCCCGCTAAGACTCTTTTGTGTCGCCAGATGCAACAAGTCTTGTACTCTTTGCCACGCAGGTCAGTGGCCACTAGTCTAAGCTTCTCTCGGGCCACGTCCAAGCTCCAACGCTCATTTTAACTTTGAATCAAAACGGTCGCAATTATCAAGCTATGCGTGCAACCAATTGTATAATTCTGTCATGAATTCTCTTCATTTTATTCCCAAAGTTGAAGACTAACACTTGAAATCATTCAGTACTCATTCACCTAGAAGTTGTTTTAACATTTTGTCCCCTTACGATTACCGTTCTCACAGTATGAAATTGGGATATGAATCACAATGGTTCAGACTGTTTTGGCTGAATCTATCACTCCCGCACGGAAACGTCTTTATAGCAGCTCATATATAGTCAATGAAAAACACTCTCTCTACGAAATCCTCGACTAACAGCATGCAATGCTAGCTCCAGAAGGCTCTTTGCCATGTAGTACCTGTTGATTTAAGCTGATATCAGTGATTTAGATACGAGTGACCATCTCTCTTACATCCATTTCCCCCCCTAGTGTATGGTGCTGTCCAACTTACCAAATAAATTACAGACAAACCAGTCCATTATCCTGGAACTTCTACTCTCGTCAGTCCCTTATCACACAGCACCTCCTCATTTATCACTTTCATAATATTTGCATTATAATGACACTCATCTAGCTCATGATTGCTAGGTTACTACGTGCATATCTTCCCTTATTTGCTATCAATTAGCCGCTTGGTAACACCACCCTAATAGTGGCATGCCCGAACTTTCCTGTTATAAATGGACTTCATTGTAACTGATGCCTCCATAAACTCACCATGCCTTAGTTTTATCACCCTGTTCCTCATCCTAAGGTGCGGACTTCCGCAGTTCATCATTCCAACGCCCTGTTTGGAAGTGAAGCACTCTGTGTGGCTTGTGCTTTACATCAAAACGGATCCTCATCATCAAAACGGAATGCAAGTGCCCACGAAATTATATCGGTTTCGTTCCAAACCTGCGGATCCCCTAGATGAACCCAAATAATAGTTCCGTTCACAGAATTGCAGATATCGATCCGATCACATCAAACATTAAATCCGCTACGGGTCTGTCTACAAACCGAAGTAAACCAGTGCACGGCATCTGCATACCGAAGCTGATTAAACATCAGCAAATTTTCCCATCCCATTCCTGACTGTGTCCTCTCGCCCATTTGTCCTCCCACGCGCATATAAGAACGAAAAATTTGACTGACCCTAAACGACTTCATTTAAATTTGTTGAACTTTTCTATCGGATCTAATCATGGACTCAATGGACTTTCAATGGACTTTCAATGGACTTTCAATGGACTTTCAATGGACTTTCAGTTTGTCATCCAAAAATTCAATGGTTTTTGTACAATTCCCGCGTTAGCACGAACTCACTTTTCCAAGTATTTTAAACCTGCGACTTCACTCCAGCAGTGATACCACTGAGTGTCTAAACCTTCCGACATTCCTGGAACCACTTACCCGTACCGCGTTCGAGGAGAAGATGGATATTGAGTTTTGTAAACAAGATATACATGCGAGTTTTGCTTCCATGTTCAACATTCTGTTACTGTCCACTTAGCGTTTTCTAATAAACAAGTCCGCAGCAAAGACCTTTCTTTAACCAGTACGAACAAATTCCGACGGTGGCCGAATGATCATGCCTGACGATATGCCACCCACCTGTTGGGAATAAAATTTATTATAAGGATGATTTTGGTTCATGAAACTCGTTGTAAGCTCCGCGATCCACCACGTTGGGCAAACTGAAAGATAATGAAAATTCGCAAGCACTAGGGCATGGTGGGTCACCGGGCGACGTATCGCCTCTCCAGAAGCTTCCACCGACCTCCTGGAAATTCCGAACAGTGTGTTTGTGTGCACCACACCACAGAAGACACCAATACGAAAAATGGAAACCTCATCAGCCTTAGTCACTCTAATTGGTGGTCTAATCCACAGTCTGTCTTCCGCGACAGTGGTTGGTTCTATGAGCTGTCGATCAATTCTTATTTTCAAACGAATCTTAGGAATCTATGAAACCTATAAAAATGCTACCGTAGTTACATGAGGCGGTCTGCCTTTGTCATGATACCATTTGCTTTCAGAGTGCTTCTGCTGGCGAAAATTTGCTTTCCAAATATCGCACTGACCCGAAAAAATTGTGAGTTTGTTTTCCATACAGACAGATACCATTGTATGTATTTCTTTGTGCTACTCCTGAAATCCGCATCTTGATTAAAGGAGGCACCCAGCTCAGTCAGGAATGAATACGCCATTTGTGACGGGTGAGAACCAGTCTGACGCGTCGATCATAAAATGACTGACAGGTACCTGAGTATTGGCTTTGATGACCGCAGGATCCATCAATCAAGCGAAACCTAGCGGCTTTCATCAAATGTATAACTGCTTTGTCGTATGCTTTTAGAAGAATACTGGCTAAAATGCCGTTATTTTTGCAATGCTTACTCTTCTCCGATTCAATCGAGTTTCAGTAAATCTAATCTCGCTTCAAAAATAACCTTATTTGTATTTTGGCAATTGTTTAGTTTGGCAGATAGACAGTCTACTCGAGGAGTACGCCCCTTTGGGTAAGTCATAATATTGTGCTACAGTTTTTTTACTGCTACACGAATATCTGCCAAATTGGTTGAGCAATCTTGAGGCGAGAATATTTCAGATTCAACTTTTTTCCATTGCCTTAGTGGTGAGTTGTTATGGGATATCTCAAAATACCGTATCAACAAAACGAGCGTGCATTGTTCTCAGGTAATCTTGGAATCGCCGCTATTAGCATCGTTCAGATCACTGTTCAACACTAACCAGAGGGACAGTCATCGTTCCGCCCGATTTGAAACAAATGGGTTCAACCAAACTAGGGTCCTCGTGAACATCTTGAAAACATATGGCGTCGCATATGGATTCAAAGTTTAGGTAAAAAAATACAATGGTCCAAACAGGATATTGCATCAGTGTGTCACATAGCTGCATAAAAAAGTAACAGTCTGGTGGGGCGTGAATTTGTGTTCCTTTGGCTCGCAGGTTGTGTCAGTTGATCACAACTGATCAGTATTTGGTTGAATTTTTCTGCCTTCAGGAAAAAAATACAGTGGTCCGAATAAAATGAATCTTATTCTCCTGGAGAATTTGGTCGCCTGTGGGAGCGTAACTAGGGAAAATTTGCCCAAATACCCCGCGGGTGCTTTTGTGTTCGCAGACTATACAAACTTTTGTCATAGTAATCAGTAACAAATTAGTAGAATGTTTCGTTGAACAACCAATATCGGAAGCAAACTCATTTGAATGCGCTAGTTTGTGAGTTTCAAAGAGTACTACTTCCTTTCTCAGGAAGTGTATTCGTCTCACCCATTGGTCGCCACAGTGTGTAGCTGACAAGAACTCTGGAGTTTTATTTTATTTCAACAGAATAATCAAAGGTGTAAGGCCTTTAACGTGTCGCCACTTATTAACAAACACGGACTGGGAACTTGCAAGCAATCAGGCAGGAAAGAAGACACTTCATTTGCACATGGTCTTTAGGAGCTAAGCATTCTCGCGCACCCGCTTGATTTGTCTCTGGTATTCACTGACAGTCAGACAGTAGATAACGTACCCTGGAATCAGTTCCACGGACGCAGAGTCGAGCTTGAAAACCACCATTCACTTCTTGCATGGTTCATCAGTGATTTCCACCGTTATGGGAATGCGAATTGCATCCACTTTAGGACAGGAATGCAATCGAACCAGCGCTATTGCGCATATTCGCACAAGTAAGCAAGTTTCAAAAAATCAGAAATAGCCGGGAGCAAAATAGCAATTTGTCTGTTTCCCCTCCACATATATGATGATATTTCAGCCGCTAATTCCGTTTGAAAAATTCTTTGCGCTCATCAAATCCCAAATAGATGTTTTCTCGGAACTTGATTTTTCCCTTTTTGGAATTCTGAAAGTCAAATTTTTGGACTAGTAATTCTGACAGTAACTTTTGATTACTTTTGATTATTTGATAAACATAACTACTAGTCGGTAGCTACGGCACAACAAAATATTCCTGCAACAGTAAGAGATAATTAGAGCCATTAACGACATTTCGAAATTAATATAGTTGTCACGAATTTATTTATTGAAAACAGTGTAGGGTTTCGGTTGTCTATCTGAACGTTCTGAAGGACCTTAGCGGGAGAAAAGTACATAAAAATTTTTTTCGTTAATCTTCTGCGACTGCATGTGTTCTATGGAGTCTCCGCAACATCCTTGAAGAACTGTCATATTTTATTGACCAGTACAGTATCGGCTCGAAAGGAAATCCTTTTTTGCGATATAACACGATCATCAGTTACCGTTCGGCATTATTCTCGACATGCAAGTGATTTTATATCGTAGCAAAGTCACATTTGTGCGTTCTCTGTTTAACCAATCCACATTTTGAATTTCTCTCAAGCCGGCCCAGCTAACCCGACGTTTCAAACAATATCCAAAGAAACTGTGGAATTCATGCAGTCTAGCTCATCATCTGAACAGAGTTTTCGCACAGGGCGTCAGACGCAGTTGCTCACAGACCCTGAAGAAGCGTGTGTGAAGAACGTTCCCAGTGACGAACCAAAGAATGTAACGGAAAAAGTTAAAAAGTGTAAATTGTATCAATGTCCCGACTGTTCAAAAACATTTCCAAATCCATCTAGCTTAAGCCTCCATCATAATAAACACTCGGCTCTGCATGACTATCAGTGTACTCTTTGCTCACGCGTGTACATCTATCGAACTGGATTGTACCAACACATGAAAACAAAACATCCAGGACACACTTATTTTCCGACAAGATTGTCCCGAGCACAGTCAAAAGAAATGCGACAGATGGAGTTCACTTGTGACGTCTGCCAGAAATGCTTCGATAAACTGAAGTATCTTCGTAGACATCAAAAGCATGTGCACACGACGGAGGGACGCGTCGTTTGTGAAGAATGTGGCTTGAACTTCTTTGGCAAAACCAGTCTGAACATGCACGTGAGGGCTAAGCACACGAAAGCAGATCCGTTCAAATGCACTCGGTGTGGAAAAACGTTCCTGTATGTATCCAGCTACATGCGGCACGTGAAGGTAGCCCACGAAAGTGACCAAACGGAAAAGACAGCAACGTAACCACTGCGCAGATGGTTTCGTCGAAACATACCGGAATCATCTTCACGCTTTTCTGCTCGTCACTCAAAACGTGATTGTGGTGAATTTTTTTCTATCGAATTTTAATCCTTTGAGGGTTGGCAAGTTCTAATATGGGATGTCCGGCTTGCATTGGATCATAAAAAAACACCGTTTTAAAGCAGCTCGATTCTTGGGTTTGGTTTTAGCGACGAGAGCTGTTGAAATATCCTAATACGCATGAGTTTAAACGAATACGCGAATTGTAGGGGCCTTAATCGCTGGAGGTATGTCGGTTTGGTAATGCTGATTACAGACAGAATAACGTAAAAATATTGTCGGGTCTGCATGAGTGTAACTCATGCAGACCGAGCCCAATCATATTTCCATACTACCTCAATCAGTTTGCCCACAATTATCGGAGCGTCAACACCTTCGACAACTGTAAACTAAACGAATATAGTCTTTGGGCGATTCCATTGGTTGCTTTCGACCGAACATCTGATCGCGACCAAGGGTCATCCCTGCTAGCAGGATGCATATTAACACGTGCGCAACAACACTCAAAACAAAACCGTCAACCCACCGCTACGCATCACCACGTTCCACAATAACGCACTGATGATGTCACTTCAATTGGTGATGAAACGTTTGCAATCAAACTGCCCAGCTCAGCGAACAAGCCAACGACCATCTTCGCTACATGAGCTACCGACATTTCCCTCTAGAAAAAAATATTTAACCAGAAACAAAACCATCCAATAACCCATCTGAAAGTGGTACCCAGATTCGAAACTTCAGTGTGCTGAAAGTGAGGGGATCGATATTAAATGCACATTGTGTAAGGCGATGGACTTCGGATCGAAATAAACGTGATAGTTGTACAAACGTTTCGAGTGTTTTGATCGCATTAGGTAGTCAGGGACCAAAGAGAGACGAGTCATACCGAACTGTTCTTAAAAGACGTGGACCAAACTGAGCTGGCATTTTCAATCTTCCTTCCGTTGTTGATCACGTGGTGCATGGCCCAAAGTAATCGGGGATCCCGTTTGTTAAATTCCCTCGTACTTTAGTAACCAATGCAGTGTATGAGTCAGCTCACGATAATCGAAAATCCTTAATGATTTTTACACTTCCCAAGTACTGAAAATGATTGATTTACCCAGAAAGATAACCTGAATGCACGATAAACCCATCCTGTTATAAGAAACCGGTCATCTACTTAACATTGCGCATTACTCTGACCGATATGGAAAACGGTTGCCAAAGTTTTAGCAGGTCCTTGTTAGTCGCTTAAGTGACAGCATTAACTCATGCTTTCCGAAAACTGCACTTGAAGTTGAAAACCTCAATTTTCTAAGCTGAAGACAATTACCTTAGGTGTGGACAACCACTTTTCAACTTCCCAAGTACTGAAAATGATTGATTTACCCAGAAAGATAACCTGAATGCACGATAAACCCATCCTGTTATAAGAAACCGGTCATCTACTTAACATTGCGCATTACTCTGACCGATATGGAAAACGGTTGCCAAAGTTTTAGCAGGTCCTTGTTAGTCGCTTAAGTGACAGCATTAACTCATGCTTTCCGAAAACTGCACTTGAAGTTGAAAACCTCAATTTTCTAAGCTGAAGACAATTACCTTAGGTGTGGACAACAGTCCACTTTTCACAGAATGACAGATAGTTAGACGCCCAAGCAGATGTTGCGAGCTGGATGGGTTTTCCATTGGTGCAAGGCAGCGATCGATTGAGTTGATAAGGAATTTCGCGCAAGTCGATAAATATGGGTGGCCGTGGTGTGTTCTGCCACATGTTACATCCCTTACAAGATTTCACTCTCTCTGGGCTGTTTCTACCACTAAATATGGCGCAATAACCACATTCTTGATCATGGGAAAATGCGTTTTTGCGTAGCTCATCTTAGGCAAATTTGTCCATTCCAGGTGTTTGTTATCATGAAACAAAACTTGTGGAACCAGCGGAAGTCCCCCCAGTACACGCAAATCAAAGCAAACCGTAAATCCATCAAGTTTAAATAAACGCAACTGATCCTTGGCAGTTATATTCTTTTTTCCGCAAAGAGGAATTAGTCAGGTAAACATTGTTACGGACAGCCGTTATATTTTGGTAGAAATATCTGTGAAACATTAGTTTTTTTGGGAAAAATCAATTCAGCTGTTGGTAATTTCATTAATCGCCTAATAGTACGCACAAAACAGTTTTTATCGTGTGAAGTAATTCTCGCAGGATTTGCTGTCAGCGATTAGGAAGTGTAAACGCGAACATCAGCATGATGTATTCACCAGTGAATTTAATATTCAGCCAAAAAAACAGTAAGAACACACGGCGATGTTTCAGTAATGATGAAGAAAATCCACTTTTTCAAACGTAAATAGTTATATAAACGTCACCAGAATTTAGTCAGTCATATGACGGTTGACATTCCTAAACACAGAACGCATAGTTTGTGAAGGTCACGAGGATTTCCCCAATCCTGAAGTACGGAACGCACATTCAAGGAACTTCAACCAATATTCTTGAAGTCTCTGAAAGAGATGCATGCCTGAAGCTTTATTTCTTCGTATAATTTTTCCGCGTATGAGAAAGGCTGGAGCGTTGAACTGCAAGAAGCTCGGCGTAGACGATCCACGTCGCCACGGTGCGTTAGCTTCCGTTTGTTTAGAACGAACAGATGTGTTAGAAGCCATCAACAGGGAGGATAAGAGCACGTGAACCACCGGGATAAGAAGACAACCATGTTTCGATTTTTTTTCAAGGAGCCAGGATTAGCCACAATATATATCTGACTGGCTAACCACTGAAAATGATTTGATAAAAACCAGCACGGAAGCAAAATTAGCTTAAAAAATAAATAAATTGGCTGCATAATGCAAAGTACGACATCTACAGCTTTGTGTACACTTCGCACTTCAAACCGAGGGGATGTTCACGGTCTCCATTTGAGCAATCGTGATAATCACAACAGACGATCTGTACATCTCCCCTCTCAGAAAACGTTCATTGTGATCACCGCACTTTACCTGCACATCTGATAACTGTCATGAGTAACATACTCACCGAAAGGGCATACCAGGGATCTCATTCAAGTAACAGGACAGCTGATTGCCACTAAATACACTGGTCACCGGTAGTAGACTGGCCACTCACGTGGGAATGGTTATACTTCCTTGAAAACACCGGCCTCTTGGACAGTGAACCACAATAAACCACACCGGTTAGGTTCGTACGCAGAACACATCTTCCTATGCAATAAACAGAGAAAGTGGGTGAATCACACACCCAATTATTTGAGGCGTTAAACAAGACAGAAACTGTAAATCATATTGGTGCTCAGAATAAGGAAAAGGTATTCCCACACCCCTCCTCCTTGGAGAAGCGTCACATAAAACCCTGGGTTTACAATGCTTACTAGTGTAATGTTAGCCCGAACTCGCACGTGTATCTATTCATATTCGGCAGGCACTTGAAACCCAGCCATTCTGGACAAGCCAGTTTACTTACGAAAATATCAACCGCCCCTTCATTACGAATATATGAATGCCATGCGCGCCAGGAAGAATTCCCAAATGTCCCTTGTCTCGAAGTCCGTAACGTGCACATGCATACGAATTTAAGGTACCCGGGCAGTGAGGAATATCACTTCTTATTAAAGAATCAGGTGTGCTAGGCTGACGGGTAAAGAACCATTTGAATGCAACCGGTACAAAGAAACGTGGACGAATTTGAACAGTATCACAAGGTACATGCACGCGCATGCATCAGTTGACGGTAATTTATTGAATATACTAAGTTTCACAAACATTGGTTTCGCCGAAATACATCAGGATCAATATTCCACACTTTTGTGTGCCAGTCAAAACCGTTTTTGGTGATGGCTGGGAGTGTAGAGTAAACACACATTGGCGTGATACAGCTTGAGCTTTTGTGCGAAATTCTACTGAAAGATGTGCGAATTCCACAGGGTCGTAAAGAACACTTAGTGTATGGTTGCCAAGCCTAGGCATCCAACGATACCGAGACATTTTCCTGCCTCTCCAGAATTGAGGAACTACCGCAAGGATGAGTTTATCGCCAACAACTGTGTTTGCTTACTTAGAGTTGCAAGTGCTCGACCGAATAGGTACTGAATAAGGATCACTGAAGCTCAGTGAGAAAATTTTGTCATCATTCTGTCAAAGTTTTCGAGGGTACTGGCATATCCATAATATGGGTTTCGTTTTTAATGCGAACTTTGCCAAAACGAGGCTACCAGGTGTTAAAAATGCCGCTTTGTCGGGCCCTTAACCTGCCATTCACAGCCATGAACCCTTCATCCTTTAAGCTCATAATATGTTATGAATGCCTATAGGTTAATCTGGTATGGTCATGTTCATAAAGTCATGCTTCACAACGTGTCAGGTCCTCTAAGATGAACCGGTATTTATTCTCCATCCAGCAACGATAAACATGAAAACGAAAAAAATCATTCAAGTCTTTAGTGCAATCTAGTTTCCAGCACACTGTTCCGCGAAACGCCGTCTCATGTAACTCAGTAAAAGTCGTCTTCATAATTACACCGACACGACTCATTGTCTAAACGGGATAGCTGGAGTCGGTAAATGCCGTGGTTTATTTGCGACAACATAGAAGCGTTTATAATTCCATCGTGCGCACAATTTCCGAGCTCTTTTCTACAGTCACCTCAAGCGGATGTACCGCACCCCAAAAGGAATGCAGGCGCTTCGATTGTAAACATCGCAGTGTGGATTTAGGTATATTGGCTACGTGATTCTTACGGTCTGTGAAATCGGACAATCTAGTTTCTGCGGAACTATATATGTCGATCATCCTAGTTCTTAGTGAACAAGGTTGACCTGATTATCGATCATATGAGCCCGTAAACTATTTTCCTCCAATGTATCCCGGCTAATGAAATTTTTTTATAAACCACAAGTGTGCTCCCTGTTTGTGTCACTATCCTCACTCTGCAGTCCCCGAAGAAATTGTAGCCTACTGCAAAGACGTATTTGTGGAAATAAACCCTCTGCCAAACAATTCTGCGTTCTCGCAAGTCGGGAGAGCAGAGAGAGATACTTGGACACGCCCTGGTGTACTGTAAAAATTCTACAGGTGGTTGTTTAGTTAATTGGTCATCGTACGCTTGAAAAAAACTGCCAAATATCTGCAGACAAGGCGGTGTAAG